ATTTATGAATAGTACTAATTCCATTTCTTTTAGGTTTGTGTAATATACACTTAAGCTATTAAAATATGTAACTTAAAGTTCTTTTTGTTTTTAATATAAATTTAAAAATAATAATTTTTTAATAAATTTATTGATAATTATATTAAATAAAATAGTAGATTAATCATTTTCCATATTTATTCCAAAAGTGATAATAACCAATTGAGTTTTAATGTTTTTCAAATTAATCAATTTTAAAGTTATAGCATGTCTTATTTCCATTGAACAAAAAAAATTGAGTTTTGATGTTGAACCAAATCGAGTTTAATTAATGGCTTAAGCTTAGTTTAATTTAATGGGAACATAAACCGTTTATGGACAGGCAATATAGACGAGGGGAATTGTCCACATTAACCTAAACAAAATGCTCTCAATCAGCAATGGACCATAATGTTAAAAACAAGACGGGACAGTAGGGGTGATTGGATGGTTGACAATGACATCCAAGGAAATGGATGGCTGATAGAACTCAGAGGGTCCACTCCTCAAAAATGGTCTGATCATGATCACATCACGGATGGACGGCAATCTGGCATCTTGCAGATGGGGTCCATCCCAGGACTGTCCCTTGACTCTGACTCCCTTTTGCAATATATGATGATGGATTTTTAGTCAGACATTGGGGATAACAAATGGACGGAGAAGTTTGGGGTTTTCTGATTTTCCTTCCTCTATAACGGGAAAATCAATTTTATACTCTAATGATGCATGGTGCCTACATTGATTTTGATGTGGCTAATTTTAATTTGGTTGGATGTCAATTTTCGTTTTTCAATTTGATAATTATATATAGTTTTCATCCTCCATTATTTTTCACATTTTATACCTTTTTTAACTTTAAAATATACATATGTTTTGTCTTTTTATAAGTTAATTTGTTAAATTTATTTAAATGTGTATATTTTTAGTTTTTAAATTTATAATAAATGTATATTTTTAGTTCATAAGCATATAAATTTATAAACTAAAAATGTATATATATGAATAAATTTAATAAATTAACTAATAAATTAATGAAAAAACTATATAATTATGCATAGTGCCTACATTGATTTTGATGTGGCTCATTTTAATTTGGTTGGATGTCAATTTTAGTTTTTCAATTTGATAATTATATATAGCTTTCATCCTCCATTATTTTTCACGTTTTATACCTTCTTTGACTTTAAAATATACATATGTTTTGTCTTTTCATAAGTTAATTTGTTAAATTTGCTTAAATATGTACATTTTAAGTTTCTAAACTTATAATAAATGTATATTTTTAGTCGGTAAACTTATAAATTCATAAACTAAAAATGTATATATATGAATAGATTTAATAAATTAACTAATAGATTGATGAAAAAACTATATAATTATGCATAGTGCCTACATTCATTTGGGTGTGGCTCACTTTAATTTGGTTGGACGTCAATTTTAGTTTTTCAATTTGATAATTATATATAGTTTTCATCCTCCATTATTTTTCACATTTTATACCTTCTTTGACTTTAAAATATGCATATGTTTTGTCTTTTCATAAGTTAATATGTTAAATTTGTTTAAATATGTACATTTTAAGTTTCTAAACTTATAATAAATGTATATTTTTAATCCGTAAACTTATAAATTCATAAACTAAAAATGTATATATATATATGAATAGATTTAATAAATTAACTAATAAATTGATGAAAAAACTATATAATTATGCATAGTGCCTACATTGATTTGGATGTGGCTCATTTTAATTTGGTTGGATGTCAATTTTAGTTTTTCAATTTGATAATTATATGTAGTTTTCATCCTCCTTTTTTTTTTCACATTTTATACCTTCTTTAACTTTGAAATATGCATATGTTTTATCTTTTCATAACTTAATTTGTTAAGTTTGTTTAAATATGTATATTTTTAGTCCATAAACTTATAAATTCACAAATTAAAAATGTATATATATATGAATAGATTTAATAAATTAACTAATAGATTAATGAAAAAAAGTGTATTTTTAGAGTTGAAGTACTAAAAAAGTGTTTAAAATAGTTAAGGAATAAAAAGGTTAAACGCTCAATTTGGACTCTTAACTATTGTTCAAACCCTTAAGTTGGTATTTGAACTAAAAAAATTCATGATTTGGTCCTTAAAGTTTTAAAATTTGGTTCTAACCTAGTCCTTTTGTTAAAAAATAATTAATGTATCTATTAGTTAACATGTCTGTTACTTGATGACAAAAGGCTATTACTTGACGGTCATGTGTCACATTATTGAGAAGACATGTTAGTTGTTTTTGAACGGAAAGACCAACTTAGAACTAAATTTATAAATTTTAAAGATCAAATTAGGGATTTGTTTAGTTTATGGACCAACTCAAAGGTCCATACAAATAGT